TTGCAGTTTTTTTGAATTTTTTTTAAAATGTTCTTTCTTGGATTAGGTGAAGATGACACATCGATGACCAAAAAATTGACCAAATCACGCGTTTAATAATTTTCTTATTTTTCTTTTCTCTCACGATTACGCGTTTGATTGTTTGAGTTATTTGGAATGCTAAAAATTCTTAGTTTTGAGTTGTTTATAAATTAACGAAACTGTAGAGTTCTTTTTAGATGAGCAATATTAAATTTAAAAGAAGTTATCCTAAATACTAATGAAGTATTTAATTTATAAATTATAGAGTATTTTGTTTTCTTGTTTTGACCAGCATAATTGTAATGTATATGTGGTGTAAGCTTGTAAGGCAGAGAGTCTTTATAACTTGAATTTTAGTTTATTGACAACTAATTTGTATTTTTTATCATTAGCTAATACTAGTATGTTAGAGTTGGGTTGAACAAATATTATTTAAAATCCTTTTTAAATTAAAATATGGTCAAATCTCCTAGTCCCGTTTTAGATTTTGTTTCCTAAATAATTGACAAAAGTCTCAAAGTTAACTTTTATTAATGGGTAAAAACACTATTATATCATTATTTACAAATTTACTTAATTATATATATAATGAATAAATAAGATTTCTAAAAAAAAAATTTAACACGAATGTGGTAGCCTAGTTGTTTAGGCGCAGGTGTAGGTGTTGTTGTCCTCCTGAGTTCGATCACAGTGAGAAGGATATTTTATGCTATGGACCTTGTTTTCATGGTATCAGTGCGTGCCGAATCCCGAGTCTGGAGATTATGGATCTTGTCTTCAGAATCTCTAGATAATGAAAAAAAAATTTCTGAAAAAAAAAATCAAATTGTTTTTCAAACAAAAAAATCCGAAATTTTTATATGTACCTGATGACTTTGACACATTCTGTAGATAAAATACTTCTAAAGTTATAATCTGTGCCAATTCACGCAACTTCAATGCAAAAGTGGGCTACTCTTCCAATTTAAAGACCATCAAAATCAGGTCCAGTGAATCCATAGTAAGATATGAACAAACCTTGGTAATGTTGTTCAAGACAATTTCATGGCCCAAATAAATTTATTTTGTGTTGGGATTTCACACTACTCACCTGGAGTTTTAATAAAACTAATTGTGCCCTCTTGTAACTGGAGAACCCATACTGAACAACTAGTTGCACCGTCACTCTTCCTAGAATCATCAACATGACATACAGTGATGGGCCTTCCATTTACCGATCTCTTATGAAACATACTAGGAAGACTGCTAGATTCCATCAATTTTTTTAATCCTTTCTTGCCAAGCCAAACATCCATGGACGGTTTTTTCATCTCGTACGTATCTTCAAGAATATCTTGTTCATATTCACAAAGATTTTGGGAAAGAAAATTACTATTATATGGTGAAGTATTACTGCACTGTATCTGTATGCAAGTCTTTGAAAACATCTCTCAAACGAAGTTATCTTTAATAGGCGTACGACCATATCTCTGGTTTGGATGAACTGATCTTAACGATCATATATGATTTTGGCCATTTTGAAATTAATCAGTAAATCGCAACAAAACTAGAAGTGTGGTATTTAGTGGTTAGATGGTTAGTGCGAGCAGTTGGTTTTGTCCTAGGTTAAATATGTTCTGGGAGAGATGATTTATATTGTATTATCGTAATATCAAACTGTTTAGTCCAAAGTCCACGAACTATACGTGATGTGATTCCAAACTTTGAGATTAAATTATGAATAAATTGAAGAAAAAAGAACTATTTTATGAGTAAAGAAAAACAACTTTATATTTTACCCTTCCAACTTTTGATAATCAGTTTCTGTAGAAAACAAAGCAGTTTGATTGTTTTTTGTTTTTGGTCTAAAGAAAGTAGTTCGGTACTTGTCAGCAAAACATCACCTATGCTGCTTGTCGGACTGGACCATCTTTATTGTCTAAAAAGATCAGAAAAATCCGATATTTCATAGGCCCGTCATCATAACCAAACCCTAACGGGATTGGACAGCTTCCTGTTAGTATTATCGAGAGCTGCCAAAATAAGCAAAGTGATCAAGAAGAGTAGACAATTCTTGGTTTGATCCAATCGGGTCGGGTTGGTCTCAGGTGGGCTCATGGGTGACCCAATGGTTGTGAAAAGAAATGTTTTGGGAAACGTGGACCATTTCTCAACCCTTCAGTTTCTCTTGGTGATCATGTCTACTTTGTTTCTTTGTTTCATAAAATTCATAAATATATGATCTTATATAAATTTCCCTTTCATGTTCTAGATAATATGAAATCTCTTTTTCCCTTTTCTTTCTATCACATAAAATTTTCTTTACTTTCAAATTAAGAATAATCGATTTTGATTTGATGGAAAGCAACTCTATGACTCACCTGATCCAATTTTAATATTGGACTTTTCTCTCACAAAAAGATCCCTAAGATTGGTATATTGAGTGGTTTGATAATGGATAGTGGATACGAGTAAATAAGTTTTTTTTTTTTAATAATACAAAGGAACCAAAAATAATCATAAATGGACATGAATGAGCTGAGCCACAATTAATGAAATGAAAAAAATGAAAAACATAAAAAAAAAAAATCTTAGATATGTACCATTTAGTTTCAACTTACAGAAGTGGATATATAACAACGTATTTTTATTATGGTCTAACATAAAACAGCTTTATATTCTTGACATGTACCTGACATATGTCTGCACTGCTCGTTTGTTTAGAGATATCAACAATGCCACCGTATTTTATTGGTATCATATACTTCATAAGTTTATAAAAATTATATCATGTAACCATCCAAACCTGTGAGAATCCAAATATAGGTTCTGAATCAGCAAAAGACAAACCAGCTCGGTAAGAAATTATAATAATAAGAATCCAAATATAGGTCCTAAGCATAAATGAATGGTTCAATTAAAAAACTTGAATGGCGTAATTCATTAGATTAAGTAAATAATCAGACATTCACTATACCACATCACTGGTTTTGTTTCAAATATGTGACGGCCTTTTCCCTTTAAATACATAGGCAAAACTTTGGTATCTGATGGTTAAAAGTCTCGGGTCGGTGCACTTTGCAACATTAGTCTCTATTCAATGCTCCATCATATTAGTCACACACAAATCCCAACGTTGACTCTCAAAACATTTTCAAACATAGCACATGCCTTTTGACTTCAAAGTCTTTTTATTTTATTTTGAGAATACATGACTTCAAAGTCTTAGATTTTATTGGATCATTAGATTTTAGATTATTGGTTTTAGATTTAGTTGGGGTTTTATAGGACCTAAATAGTTTCTGTAGCTTTTGATTTTCTTTGTGCGATTGTCAAAACCAGTGAATTTGTCAAACGGTAATAAACATCCAAAAGTAAATCATTCTAATAATCTTTTATAAATGGTTGGACCTAATCATTAACAGTTTTTTTTTTGAATATAATCCACACAATTTCAACATATATAAATAATAAAATAGCTTCATTTTTTTTGTCAAAAATAACTTCATTTAAATGACTGAAATACACATAAAAAAAATACTAAATCCATTTCTCAAAAATATATTTAAAGTACTTTGACACAGAGAAAAAAAAAAACTAAACCATTATTACAAATGCATCATTTTTTTGAAATTGTCAGTTTTCAATATATTTCAATCTATAATGATTTAATAACTCAATAGTAATTGAAATTAACAATTTTGCATAAGAAAAATAAAACATCTATCGTTGTGGTAATATTTTTTAAAAAATATTTATCTTAGTGGAATGGAAAGAGTGTTATTGAAAAAAAAAATAGTCTAAAATCATCTACACCAAACATCTAGTTTTTAAAGTTGGTGATCTTCAAAATAGAAGTTTGAGAGTGGATTGTTAAAATGGTAAACCTCACATATCTTTTTTTATATTTTTACTTTAATCTTTAACTTAACAAGAATTAACTACAATAATTTAATTATTATACATAAATAAGAAATTTACAAAAATAAAATTTGCTAATTTTGTATTTTTTTTTCTTTGGAAAATTCGTTCATCATCTTTTGACATAATTTTGGTCTTGTATTATTGTATTTTTAATAATATAACACAAAGTTCCAAATGTAATAATGTTGTTATGTGAAAACATATTTATATTTTACAATACTAATGTATATTAATAAATTTACTTTATATATATATATATGTGTGAGTTTTATGTACTAATATAATGTATTCACATATCTAATATTTAATTTAAATATAATTACGAAAATTAAAATTATAAAATAATATTAATGTAATTATATGAAAATTATGTAAGTTATGTAAATTATGGAATAATAAAGACTATCATGTTTTGTAGTTTTTAGTAGAAAAGGTTAAATATTTTAAAAAATTAAAGCCCAAGAATTAAAATTGAAAATCTAATCTAAGAGTTTGGTGAAAATGTTTTAATAAAATTAAAATTAAAGAAATTAATATTAATTTTGACTGTTGATATAAAAATGAATTTAATTTCCCTAGAGACTAGAATAAAGCTATTGAATGCTAAAGACAGATAAAAAGATGAAACGTGTATCTTCATCACACGCCAACAAAAATAATCCCTAACCAAAAAAAATTACTAACAATATTTTCTCATAATTTTTCGAGGTTGATGTATATATATTTTGAAAATTTAATATAATACCTTTCTCAATTTTGTTTTTTTTTAATATAATAGACATAAAAGATAACCATTGTAGTGGAGAAAATAAAAGGCACAAAGTGAAGAACCAACATGTAACCTTTTTTGGCCCATGCATGTGAATATGTAGCAAAAGACACGCTTCTATGTCCCCTCTTCTATTACCATTCTCATTCCTCTCTTTTCCAGTTTCTCACCCGAAAATTCTTTCTTTTTTTTTTAATTATTTTTCATATCTTTACTACTATCAAATATCAAAATAATTAAAAATTTATTTAAATCCACCCCTTATAAAAATATAAATCAAAACCTATTCCTTTCCTATCGTTCCGCCTTCACACCTTCTTCCCTCAAACTTCTCTCCACGTCTCTCTCTCTTTGCAGAAACATTCAACAAAACCCTCAAAAGAACATCTCTTTCGAAAGTAAACATGATGGCGTTGGATCTTCTGTCGGAAAACTCTAACATGAGTCCAAGAATCTCATTCTCTCGTGACTTTTGCCAATCAGATGCTATACCGGTCGAGAAACGTCCCTTGCGATCATCACCAAATTCCAAACCGTCGAGTCTCAACTCAAGCGTCGATTTCGATTTCTGCATTCCCGGCGGCGTGACTTCCGGCGAAAGCTTCGACCAAGGCTCTTGGTCCGCCGACGAGCTCTTCCGTAACGGTAAAATCTTGCCGACAGAAATCAAGAAGACCAAGAAGAAAGACGAATCTCCACCACCACCAGAGAAACACAATAAAAAAATATCCGATACCGGTCTAACCGAACCGGCTAAACCGGATATTAAAAAAGCGAGTAAACCGGTTGAAGAGGACGAAGACGACGTCGTTATAACGGAGGTGAAACCTAATACGAAGTCGTTTTGGGGGTTTAAGAGAAGTAGCAGTTTAAACTGCGGAAGTAGTTACGGACGGAGTTTATGTCCGTTACCGTTACTAAACCGGAGTAACTCGACCGGTTCAGCATCGAGTAAACCGAAACAGAGCTCTAGGAAACAACACACAACAGAGCATATAAAGCTACAACAATCCTCATCGTTGTCTTCTTCCTCTTCTTCTTGTTCATCAAGTAACAGTAACTTCCAGAAACCGCCGTTGAAGAAAAATTACGGAGGCTACGGTTACGGAAGCCATGGAAGTGGGACAAGAGTGAGTCCGGTTATAAACATGGTTCCATCTGGTAGCTTGTTTGGTTTGGGTTCTATATTCTCTGGCAACGGAAGAGACAAGAATAAGAAGAGATAGGGTTTGTGTTCTGATTTGGTAAGAGAGAGATATTATTCCTGGGTTTACTGTTTGATCTTGCTTGCTTCTTCTCTGTTTCTTTCTCTGAAACTCTGAAGATTTTCTGACAGTGTGTGTTTTGTGGGTCCTATTGCCAACTTCTTTGTGTCTTTTTTTTTAGAATTGTTGTGGTGTAATTGTTTTTTCGTTTGATTTGTTAGTTTGTCTTTTATCAATGTTTAAATCTAGATTTTATATTTCAAGAGGCTGCTAATTTGAGATTACACTTCGTGCATGATTGGTAATGTCTTTACTCTTTAGAGAATGTAGCAAACAAAAGTAACCAATTAAGCTAAACCAGTTAAGCTTTCCTCCTTGTTTTTTTTTCCATAGCTACATAATACTTCCTCCGGTTTCTAACAGATGATATTTTAGGATTGTATACATAAATTAAAGAAAGTATTTACTTTTTACATTTTCTTAAATAAAAATATCATTAATTGAAATCGACAATTATTTTGAAACAAAATTTTTCCTCTAGAATGACAGTTATTTCGTAAGAGAGGGAGTACTATTTTAGAGGAAGTGCGATTACAAAAGAAGTTTGAGTACCACATGAATAATACAAAACCACGCATAATAAACAAACCTACAATCATATTTTCTTCTCATCATTGGGAAGTAAAGAATTTTATTTATGTATAATAATAAATAAATTATGATTTTTAATTTAATTTCTAATTTTTATCAGTTTTTATTAATTTACTTACAACCAAGAAACTTGAGCATAAAACTGAAACAAATTGATTAGTCAACTCCTTAAGACTTTAATTAGTGTTATTGTTCAAAATAGTATTCCCTCTGTTTCAAAATAAGTGTCACTCTAAGCTTGTGCACACGGATTAAGGAAACAATTAATTTTACATATTTTCTATATAAAAAACACAATTACCCATACACCTAACCATATTTCAACCAATAAAAAAATAAATTACATAAGAAAGTTAATAAATTTTGCTTTGAAAACCGAAAACGACACTTATTTTGTAACGAAATATTTTCTCTACAACGACATTTATTATGAAACGGAGGGAGTACTTATTTTCATTGGAAATTGGGAATCAGGTTTCAACCGGCCGTGTCGTTCCAACTTTTCAATCAATGATTCTAAATTGTTTCGTTCATTTGAATAAATCTAAATTAGTGGTTGGAAGTATAGAATAAAATAAAAGTACGAGAGAAAAGACTAACGAGTTGAGCTGCATTACATCTACATTTGGTGGCACTGTAATTGAAGGAGCAAGCCAAGTACGAACTAGACGTTTTTAATTGATAAGATAATCTTGAACGAATTTTCAATTTTGCTGCACAAGATATATCGATAACCTTGACTTAGTTTATTACCAAACTAGTTTTAGTAATTTAATAGTGACTAGTTAATGATAAGTGTTATAATAAAACAATAATAGAGTTCTCAATTACAATTAGAAAGTGCGACAAGACAATTGACAGGTAAACAATTCTCTTTCGAGCTTGTCCTATTCTGTTCCTTTTGAATATTTCTCACATGGTGTGTATTACCAATTAATGTGAATTATCACTAAAGCAACGCAAGGAAAAGAAAAAAGAAAGATAAATAATTGACGTGATAACTACTTTTCCTCTTATCATTCCGTGTAAAGTTAAGCTTAACTCCGTGCCAATTATTCCTTTATTATTTCTACGGTTTATTCTCACTATTTTGGGGTTTAAACTTGCTAAAAAGGAATATTAACTTAATATTTTACCGGTCTCAATAATCAATTTCACACACACAACTCGTATCAAACTTTTGTTTTGATATTTACAACTTTGACATGTACCAATGTATGTAGGCGTCTGTTATTGCATCAAAAAGTCATTGCAAGGGCATAAGATGTTAGTATTAATACTTGAGCCATTAACAAACGTTGTTTGTTTTCAGTTTCACTCTTGAATGTTGTAATTTTTATGCCAAAGAAACATAAAAATGATTCAAGAAGCTCATTTTTTAAACAGAGGATTTGGGTCTTTAACAAACGTTCTAGCTAGAACATTTAGCAAGTTGAAAAGGCTACAACTATTTAGTTGTCCAGTCATATTTTCTATTGTAACTTTATTTGTTGTGCTGTAACATTATTGAAATTTAATGTTTGAAATAATGGGCTCACAAGTTTATAAGAAATTTGAAGAACTCATTTTTTAAACAGAGGATTTGGGTCTTTAAGTATATGCAAACGTTACATATTGCAGTTTCTTAAAGCGGCGTTGATCAGATATACTGTATTAAAAAGTTCAAACTCAAACTCCTTTTATATTTTCTGTAGAGCAAAACTGATCTTCAATTACTTACAAAATTGGGATTTTAATGCACAATGGTCCGATATTATAAAAGATGTAAAATGTAGTTATCATTGTGAAACTGTTATTAGATCACTTTTAAGACAAGGAAGGATGGATGACAATTATAATCCGCAAGATGTCAACCGCCACATGGTTGTAGGGTACACTTTAATCCTATTTTCTTCTGGTTGTCACTAATTTTTTTGCTTTTATTTTTCGTTATATATTTTTAAAAAATTAGGTTTTCTAATAAAAACTATGGTTACTACTTCTATTTTTACTTTGCGTCGCTTCAGTAAAATTCAATAATGATAAGTTGTTTTGAACATGTTACTTTGGGCCAAAATTAAGAGCAATCCCTGCAATAGAGTGGTGAAGTTGATTTGACTGGTATCGAATAAATATGGCAAGCACCACATAATTGTACGATAAAATGCGTCGATGTTACTGTAGAAAAGTCAGAACAACATTTGAGTTTGTTTTAGATGTCGAGAAACAACATTTTGGTTTTACACACTTCTCTTCAAAGCCGGGAGACTTTTTCTCATAAAGTCATAGTGCAACTCATCCGAAAAGATCGTAAACTCTAATCGGTTTAGTTATATCAAGCAACATATAGTTAATTTCTTAGAAAGTTGAAGTATATACAGTAAATAATATTGATTAAGACTAGTTTAACTGGATTTTCAGAAAGAAAACATTGTCGGTAAAGGTTCTTTTCAAAACTTACAATGAATTTTCATGGCCTCGACAAAGGACGAGCAAGAAAATTCGAATATATATATATATCCGATTTATGCATATGTAGAACAAGAACAATATGGAGTTATGGATTGAACCAATATCAGAACAGGCTAGTTAAGTTCAATTAGGGCTGGGCACAAATACTCGTTACTCGCCTTATATTCGTTACTTGACCCGTACTCGCCTCGTTTTTTCAAGTACTCGTCGTTTTCTAGTCAAGTATCAAGTCGCTTAGTTTTGCTATTTGCAAGTATAAGTCAAGTAACAAGTATTACAAAGAAATTAGTGACCCGCCTTGATATTACTTGTTACTTGTTTTGCAATCGAAAGAAACGATAACTAGACCATAGAAACAAAAG